TTAAAATCTCATTTTCTAATTTGTCTTCTGATACTCCTTTGTTTAGCATAAAAGACTGTGAGAAACAGGTCACCCTTACAGGAGTGCAAAGGCAGGCAACTCCAGCATGCCCCATGAGCTACCTAAAGGAAGCAGGGGAAGGACAACGTGTTGTGTCCCCGCCCAAATCTTCCCTGAGCCCTGCAGAAAGCTGCAGGGACTGCCACATGCAGCCAAGAAGTATTTCCCGAGAAAGGCAGCTTCCATTGGGTACCACCTCCAGGGCCTTCAGACCAAGTGCAAGAGCCCGAGGCATGAGGACATCACTGAGAATACAGCCCCGACCCAGCCCCTGGGCACACAGGGAAGTCCTAGGACAGCTGCCTCCATGCCACCTTGGCGAAGCCCTGAGGTGCACATGCTGGACCCCACTGCTCAGCTCAGGGACTCTATGTCCTGCCTCAGGATCTTCCAGGAACTGAACCTACTTAATTAGACCTGGCCTCATGCTGGGGAGCTCTGAGACAGGGACTTTAGACGAGGAGAGTACATGGGAGTCTCTCAGGAGAATACTGGGAGGGAATGACAGCAGAGGCTATGGCACCAGCTCCACCCTGAGATCCTGCCAGAGCTCCTCTTTGCCAGGCAGGCCCAGGGACGCCTTCCAACCCTGCACACCACAGTGGAGAAGGAGAAGGCAGAACTCAAGAGAGGGCAAGGCAAGCAGAGAGTGAGCATGTTTGCAGGAAGTCAGGAAGCCACCGCACCACAGAGAAGGGTTCTTCCCTGCCCGAGGGGCCCCAGGGGTCCAGGCCTCCCCCAACAGCAGCCTCATGAGGATTTCTCTAGGCAGAAGATGCTGCTCTGGTCAGTGGCATCCAAAGTGCAGGAGTGGCTTCCTCCAGTGCCCACCCCTCACACTGCCGGCCCCAAGTCCCACCCCGTGCCCAGGCCCAGGTCAGAGCTCCAACCTGGTGATACCACAGCTCCCTGCACTGGGTTGGGGGAAAGAAGGCAGAAATGACATCCCCATGTAAACTCAGCCACAGGGACAACAAAAAACTTCAACAGAGCACCAGCGTCAGATCTCTGCAAAGCTGGACTGGCCTGACCACATGGCCTACTGGGGGGTCTCAGTCTCAGGTAAGGAGGTGGTCACATTGGTCTAAGTATCTGAGACTGCACAGCGAGGATGTGCCCCTGGCCCAGCAGTGTTGGACAGACACCCACACACCCCCCCTACTTCACAGCCCTCAGCAGCTGCTCAGAGCATGGGAAGCAGTTCCTCAACTGCCCCATGTCATCCCTGTCCCAGACCTCCCAGCCCAGTGCGCCCAAGTAGGAAGGCTGTCACTATCTCTCTGGCTCTCATCTCCTCATCTGTGTAACGTGGACACAGGCCCATGAGCCCAGGTACTGCAGCCACCGTAGCCTGGTGTCTTGCTCACCCAGTGAGAGTAGGAGCTTAAGGCTGGCTCTCGGGCATTTGGTCCTGCACTGGCCAACACCCCTACCAGGCAGATGGTCATGAAGAGCATGGCAATCTCCATGGCTACATGAGATCTGCAGGCTGGACCCTCCCCACTGGGTACTCACTGTACACACTTCCCATGAGCACTGCAGGGTGTGCCACAGCTGTGCACATACCAACATCATCCTCCCAACCACTGTCCCAAGATGCAGGTGTTCAGGGACACAGGGTATACTGTGGAGCTTGCCCCACGCAGCAGGCAAGCTGGAGATATCCACAGGCACTCAGGGGCACCAGGTACACTGTTGTTGCCAAGCAGGGGGCTCCAGACCCACTCCACCTAACCAAGCCTCAGCTTTTTCACTTCTCAACACAGATGCAGATAACAGATTACCATCCTGTCTGTCTAATGCCCAATCTGGCAATATTCCATGGGGATGAACTTGGCAAACACTGAGATCCCCTATACACAAGCCCAAGATTGTGTCTCCAATACCCACCTCTAAGCCCCCAGCCACCTGCCCACCAGAAGGAAGGCCTGCCCAGGAGCCAGCTGACTGGCCAGTGCCCAGGATATGCGTCCTGACAGCGTTGACACACCCAGCAAGGACTTTGCCAAGAGCAGAAGCAATCTGCACTGTTCCCGGCCGTGCCTGCAGCCTCTGCAATGCCAAGATGAGCTGTGTTTAACACAGTCAATCCCGAGGCAGCTGCTGGTCAGCTGGTCAGCAGGATGACAGCCGGAAGGGTCTGAGATGATACATCTCCAGCCATTTCCTGTATGGCAGTGTCCAGAAGAACCCTGCACACACCCTTGTGGGACTGCACAACACCCAGACACCAGAAGGCTCCCAAGGCAACAAAGCAACAGAGCAGCAGAAACTGTAATGGACATGGACACACATGCCGGCCTGTCCGCAGGAGCCACACATGTGCTCACACTCACAGGGGTAAGTGGTGCACTAGTTCAAACTGCCCTTGGGTAGCCAGTGGGTGCTTGTGTGGATGTAGGGAGAAAGCCTGAGGCACAGAGCACAGAGATACAGGGGCAAAGGCTGGGCCAGGACACTGAGTCCTGTTTCCTGTCCTCCAAGGGCAGAACCATGAAGGCAAACAGAGCTAGACAACCGCAGAGGCTCCCTGTGGGGCCACCCCAATCCCTGTGCTTCCCTGAGCTTCTCATTCCCTGGAAGGAGAAAAGTCCACAAGAACAGGCCCTACCACACATACAGTCCCCAGGCCCCCACAGGGGACAACATGTGCTACCAAGAAACTCCCCAGCGCAGGCAGTCCCGGCTTCCATAGGCATGCCAAGCAGTCCCTGCTTTTCCTATAATGAACATCTAAGTTCTGTGGGAGATCGCCCTGAATCTCCACCTGCCTAGACCATATATGGGAGGCTATGGGCACATGGCATACCATCCCCTTGGCTAACTGACCCAGCATGGCCTGTTCACTGGGCATGCAACAAGAAGATTGTCTGCACCCCAGTCTCTCTTCCTTTGTAAACAACTCTAGGAAGTCAAATGCTACATTCACCCTGCTTTAAGGAGCCTGCCATGAGATACAATTTCCTGTGCTTCCTGACTTTTAACTTCATTGAAGGTTCCAGAAGAGATAGGCATATCTGTTAGCCAGTCACAATGTTGTACTGTCAGGACCGCCCTCCTGCCTGCCCCCTTCTCCTATATAAGCTTGTGACTTGTCTCAAATAAACGGTCCTCCTTCACCACCAACTGCTGCAGAAGAGCAATGTCCTCTAACCCCTTGGTGGTTTGGGGGCCTGCTGGACCTAAGACCCCTGAGAAAGTTAAAGGAGCATGATCGCATGCTGTGAAGCCACACCCATGCTGGGCCGTGTGGGCCATGGTTTCTGCATAGCCACTGGTCCAGCAGCAGGACTGCAGGAGCAGGACTGCAGTGAACAGACACACTGGGCACTGCACACAGTGTGCTGGCCACAAGCTATGTGGGGCAAATGGGTCTCAAGAGAGCACACAGGAATGGTGCCATGAAAGGCCCTAGAACCCACTTTGTGCCATGTGAGGCAAACAGAATCAGTCTCACACAGAAGCTGAGCAGGTGGAATGACTAAGCTGGAGCCAACCCTGCTAAGTGTCTTCAAGACTGGCTTGGAACTCCAGAGCTAAGACACGTGCTTGAGAAGAAGCAGGTGCCCAGCACTGGCATGTACCCATGTGGGGTGCACATGCCTGCTGTTTCCTGAAAGCCAGAGGTACTGGCCTGATTCTCAGCATGGCTGTCTTGCCTCTAACCCTGGCCTGACACCAGCACACGGTTGACATGCCCCGTCCCAGCTTAAGAACAGCGGTAGATGCAGGAGGAGGCTCAGAACAGCTGAAGAAAGGCACCCATGGTGTGGTCTGACTCTTCTGACTTGGGAACATATTCTGGAAACAGGAAGACAAAGAATGGAAAAATGCACACTTGGACATGCCCCGGTCTCAGCTGCTAGTGCCAGACCCTGGGGTCTTCGCTGTGGAAGCAGGAATAGCCCCTCGGGTGGGACAGTGCCCATCCCACAGCCAGGAGTCAGCTCCCCTCCCGAGCCTTCCAGGCCCTGAAGGACCCCTCCAGAGAAGGCATCCAAGCATGGCTGACCTCAAGTCACTAAGATCATGTCCACTCTTCATAATCCACCTGAATCTATTCCTCTGCTCAAATACTCCAGAAGATTCCAGAAGCAAGGGTCAGCTTCACTGTGTTGCAATTGCTCCACCAAGTCAGAGCAGTGGCTGCCATGCCCCATCTCTCCCCTGCCCCACTCCATGGCTGGGCTTCCCATCAATATCTAAAATATCAAGAACCATGGTCATCTGCTCAGGAGTTCAGAGGACCACTGGACCTGGAAATATTTTTACTGCATGTCCCTTCAGGCCCAGAGCTATATCAGGAACCCCAGAAGTCAGCACCTCTTGCCTCCAAATTCCACGTTTTTAGATCCCAGTATCTCACCAGGAACAGCCACCCTGAGTCAGCTCCTCAACCCCTCCTGTGTGAGCCGGGAACTTGTCTTCAAATCCTTTGGGTTGGCACCCATGCCTCGAGCCACTTGGCTGCACCCACTGGCCCAGAACAGGTAGATGCTGAATTCCTATTAACACTGTTCATGGCAATCCCCTACCCCTACTGGCCAAACCCACAACTCTACACCACCATGAGCTCCAGTGCCCTGCCAGGGAAGCTGGACAGCAGGTGTAAGATTCAAAGTGCTCTTGGCAGCCATTCTGGGTGCTACACAGAGCAGCATGCAGAGCTGCTTCCACATAGCAGCTCCTCCAAAGCTATGGTTTAGCCATACAGCTCCACAGCCCCAGGGACAATACCACAGCGGGGAGGAGAAACCCAGAACCTCACTACCAGCCCTCAAATCCCACTCCCCTCCCCAGTATCAGAGTATGTGGACCATGAATATAGAGACCAGACAGGTGTCTCCAGCCAAGCCAGACAGACCCTAAAGGGTGAGGAGGGAAGGATGCAGAGCCACGGCCTCCCAACAGCACCCTCAGCCATGAAAATCCCACCTCACCTTTCATTCCAAACTTGGACCTCCGCCCGTACTTGTTGATCATGACGAACAGGACCACCAGCAGGACACAAGCGAAGGCAGCCAGTCCCACGGCGATGGACACCTGCCAGGGGCCCAGGAGGACAGTCAGGGGCAGTCACTGAGCCCGAGCAGCACATAAGCAGAGTACACACCCCATAAAAGCACCTCTCTTAGCCATGCTCCTGAGCACTGTCCTGACACAGCACCAAGACAGTGCCCAAAGTGTCACAGTCATATTCTGCACCCCCCAAAGCCCAGGACAGCCTTTGTCCTATTCTAGTTTCCCAGCAATCTCCACACTGAGACCCTTAGCCCCACAGTCCCATCCCTGGGGATCTTAGAGAAGTGAGCCTCAGAGAAACCTCTGGCCCTGAGATAGCAGGGGTCCAGCCAGTAAGCCCTGAGATGCCCTGCACCCTACAGGCTACAGAGCAAATGTTCCCCAGGGCCAGATCCACCAGGCTGCTGACCTGCTGGAATCTTCCCTCATGCACTCCCTGGACCTTGGGATTAGAGAACCCTCAGCTTCTGGAAGCAGTGAACTGCTCCCAGCACAAAGGGAAGGCTCCCAGGCTCAAAAGCACATGCTCATCACTGATTTTCTCTACCACATAGCCAAGGTCCCAAGTAAGGCAAAGTTTGGAGACACAGGAACTCAGAGTAACCCTGAGCTTCCCCCACCCCCCAACCATGGAGGACTCACCCCGAAAGTATCCTCCTCTGGCTTATGGGTCACAGTGATGGGAGGTGTGGGGCTCACATCAGCAGCAACTAAAACCCAAAAATACAGGAAGAGGCTGTCAGCTCAGAGCCTTGGACCCTCCCTGTGCCCACGCCCCAGAGCCACCTGGCAACCCAACCTCTGCCGGGTCTCCAGGTCTCAGAGATCAGATCCCGTCCAAGCCAAGAGCTGGCTGCAGGTGGAACAAGGATATCCACTCACACCTGTCCCAACCAGGGACACGACCCCCCCTGGCCTAAGTACACTGGCTACAAGACAGAATAACACAAGGCCTGGGACTGCCCAGCTATGATGAGCATGCTCCTGGTGGCAGCTGCTCTGCAGCGCATCCTGTCCCACAGATACCCCACACTCCCACTTGACTGCAGAAGGAAACACAACTTCAGTGGAAAACTGAGTCAAGCCCAGCCACGTCCAAACGGAGCCGTGCCTCAACTGACACACCACACAAAACCACCTGCTTGGGCAAGAAATGGCCCCAGTGCAGAATTCTCTAAAAGGACATTCTGACCTCACAAGTCCTCCATGACTGATCATGAGAAAATTGACTGCAAATGATACATCCAACAGTGCCAAACGTGGCAGCCATTGGTGCCATCACGCCTGCCTTCCACAGGGAAGAAAAAGGTTACAAATGCATGTCTCCCTGCAGCCTTTTGAGATTGTGGACCCTGACCCCAACTCATCCTCACTTGTGCTGTCAGGACACCCGACACACCCACCTGGAGGGGCCTGGAGGGGTGCTGGGCTCCTGCCACAATGGAGAAATTAAGCAGATGAAAGGCCCCTATTCTGTCTTAAAGAACAATGGGGACAATAGGGGGGAGTGTCGGGGCACAGGAAATCCCACCGCCCCTTTCGAGGGAAACTGCCAGCCAACAGCATGGCCAAAACTCAAAAGCTTCTGACAAAACTAAGTCTGGAACAACCTTCCCCACAGAGGGGCTCAGAGCTGGCCTAGACGTGTGTATACCTCCCCCACTGTCATCTCCCACACTTCTGCCACCACGGGCAGGAGACCTGTGCCAGCAGAGGCTGTGTGAGTCAAGTTACCTTAGAGCAACAGTGAAGGAGGACTTACCTAAGTCAAAGATATCTGTGCTCTCTGGAAAAAAAAAAAAAGAAGAAGAAGATGGAGACAGTTAACAAGGGCAGCAAAATAGTCCAGAATAGACACACATGGTGTTGTTCTAACACCCCCGCTCACCCGGTCCCTGTTCCCCTCGCTGCACCAGAGTCAGGCTAGGGGTCCTACAGGTGCAGCAGCAATGAGACACAGTTTAAGGGGAGGGGCCCCCTGGGGGTTGGTTTCAGTCCAAGGGAGGCTGACCCAGACTCACCCACCTGCCCACAGCCAGCCTTCTTTCAGGCCCAGAGCACAAGACAGGAGTAAAGAGGGGGCAGAGGTGCCCTGCTTGGAAAGGCAGTGCTGGCCTCAAGACCACACTCCCCAGGATCAATACCTGCACCTGATTCTGCTCAGTCATGCCTCTAGAATATGCACATCATCCATACAAGGAGGTCTTGGAAATGAAGAGCTCGCTACATCAAACACTTCTGTAGGAAGCTTTAATAATGGACCAGATCATGCAGAACAAATGTCTGACCTGAAGTCAGGCTTCTTGAAATACCCCAGTCAGATAGGGGGAAATATTTTTTAAAAGAATGAAGACAGGGCCTGGGAGTAGAGATGCATACTGTAACGTATCATCACTTCCTGGTATGCTAGTCTCCATTATACAGTTCCTCCGGATGTGTGCGTGTGTGTGTATATATATATATATATGTTTCTACATATATACTTGTTTATGTATCTATTTGTTTGTTTACCAAAGAATCTATTTATTTGCTATTTTGCATGAATGTTACCTTGCATCAAAAAGAACACAGAGTATTTGTCCTTCTGGAACTGGATTATTTCACTGAGCATAATGGTCTCTAATTAGCAGCATTTTGTTGCAAACGATGAAATTGCATTCTTCTTAATGGCTGAGTAGTATTCCATGGGGTAGATGCACCACAGTTGATGCATTCCTCTTTCTACAGGCATCTGAGTTGTTTCCCTGTCTTCACTAATGTGGATTGTATTATAAATTTAGGGGTACAAATTGCTCTCTCATACAGATTTCACTTCATTTGGTTATATTCCCAGGAGTGGCACAAGCTGGGTCATATGTACATCCATTTTCAATTGTCTAAATACTCCATAGTAGCTGCACTAGTCTATACCTCCACCAACAGTGGAGTAGTAGGGAACCTCTTACCCCACATCCACACCAGCAGGTGTTGTTAGTAGATGTCTGAATGCAGGCTTTTCTCACCGCAGCTAGCTGGAACCTCAACACGGTTTATATTTGCATTTCCCAGATAGCTAGGGAGCCTGAGCATTTTCTCATATGTCTGTTACACATTTGATTTTGTTCTTTTGAAAAACGCCTGTTCATTTCCTTTGCCCATTTCTTCCCAGGGCTATTTATTTTGCTGCCATTGAGTTTCTGAAGCTCTTTGCAAATCCTGGATATTAGTCCACTGTTTGTTATGTAGTGTGTGAAGATTTTCTCCCATTCTGTTGATTGCCTCTTTGGCTTGTGGATCAATTCCTTTGCTGTACAGAAGCCTCTTCATCTGATGTAGTCCCATTTATCAATTGTGGCTTTGACTGTGTTTTTGGTAATGTTTCTAAGAAGTCTTTCTCTATGCCTATATCTTGTAGAGAGCTTCCTATGTTTCCTTCTAATAGTTTGATGGTTCCTGGGTGCAGATTTAGATCCTTGATCCATTTAGAGCTGGTTTTTGTATACGGGTGAGAGGTAGAGATCTTGTTTCTTACTTCTGTAAGTGGATATCCAGTTATCCCAACAGCATTTGTTGAAGAGCACAGCCTCTAAGGTCCCATACTACTACTGGACTGGAGTCTAGATCTCCCTTTAAATCCATTAATATTTGTTTCATGTAGCTAAGTGTGCTGAAGTTTGGTACATATACTTTTATTATTGGTATTTCCTCTTGCTGAATGGATCCCTTAATAACTATATGGTGTCTTTCTTCATCTTTTTTAATGCTTTCCATATTGAACCAGTTCATTTCTCATTTCCATTAGCCTGGAATATCCTTTTCCATCCTTTCACCTTCAGTTTCACGTATCCTTATTGGTGAGACGTGTTTCTTCTAGGCAACAGATAGATGGGCTCTGTTTTTTCATTTTGTCCACTAATCTATGACTTTTGATTGATGATTTTAGCCATTTGATTTCAAGGTTAATTTCGATATGTAGTAATTTGGCCCTTTTATTTAAGCATTGGGTTTTTCATTATTTGATTTTGGCTTCTTTTGTGGTTTTATTGAGCTGTTCTCCACTTCTGCATTTGTGTTTAGTAGGTGTCATTCGTTTTTCTGTCTAGTATTTTTTTTTTTTGCTTTTTTAATTTGTATATTTCTTGATACAATTTCTTCTTTTAAATATTTACCTATTTTTTATTGGAAAGTTAGATTTACAGAGAGAAGGAGAGACAGAGAGAAAGCTCTTCCATCAGCTGGTGCACTCCCCAAGTGGCTGCAGTGGTGGAGCTGAGCTGATCTGAAGCCAGGAGCCAGGAGCTTCCTCCAGGTCTCCCACACAGGTGCAGGGTCCCAAGGCTTTGGGCCGTCCTCTACAGCTTTCCCAGGCCACAAGCAGGGAGCTGGATGGGAAGTGGAACAGTTTCTTGAGGAGACCATCTCTGGTCTGAAGGCGAAGCTAGAAGAATATCATCCTGATCAATTTAAAGACACAACATAAATCAACGACAATTTACTACATCTTTAAACAACCTTTGTTGGGCTGGTCTGGTAGAAGCAAAGTCTTTCAATTCTTGTTTGCTTTGTAAGTTTTCTATGTAATTTTCAAACATAAAACAATGCTTTACTGGGTTGTTATCCTGGGCTGACTTATTTTTAACTCTTAGGATCTAGAATACATCACTCTATTTTCTTCTGACTTGTAGGTTTTTTTCTGTGAGAATACAGCTGTGAGTCTGATTAGCATTCCTCTGTAAGATATCTGATGTTTCTCATAGGCATATTAAAATATCTTTTTTTCGTGTTAACCAAAGAGAGCTTGATGGTGATGTGCCATGGCAAGGATCACTTCTGGTCAAGTTGATTCAGGTTCTCTTTCCTTCCTGGTTTGGTTTCCTTTTTCTTTCCCTGTGCCTGAGATGTTCTCTTTTATTACTTCATTGAATACGTCTTTCAATTTAGCTTCTCTTTTCTGCCCCTTCAGAAACTCCTATTATCATTATGTTTGGCTTTTCGATGATGTCACTTAACTTGGATTTTTTTTTTTTGGTAGCTTTTCAGTTCCTCTTCCATATTTCTGGTTGTTTGGGCATTTTTGTATATGGTATCTTCTGGCGTGAAATTCTTTCCACTGCCTCATTCTATTATTGAGACTTTCTGTGGTATTTTTAATTTGCTCTATTGCATTCTTCATTTCTAGTATTTCAGCTTGATTTTTTCAATGCTGCTATTTCCTGTGCAACATATCCCTTAAACTCCTTTAACTTTCTTTAATTCTTTATCGGGAACTTCCTCAATGTCTTTATTGTCTAATTCTATGATTGAAATAGTCTTTTGATTCTTTATGGGGGGAGGAGTCAATAACCTCATTCATGGTGCCTGTGCCTTTTATTCTGCCCTTGAACAATGCAATTCAGATGAGCGGATCCTTCTCCTCTGGCCAATTTTACCTTTAAGCTGTGACATCCACAGATCTGCAAGTGAACTTCACTGTTCTCATTCAGTGCCTGGTTTTGTTGTGGCATGCTCATCACTCCCTCTGTGAGTTTCAGCCCTGGCTTCCCGTGCTGTGCTGATGCAGCAAATGCTGCTGCCAGTACAACCCAGGGAACCTCTCTCTGCCCCTGTGATCATGTGTGTGGCCATGCCATTGTCTGCTGGCCTTCCTATTGTCCATGGTTCCAGCAGCACCCGGGATTGGGGAGACACAAGCTGTGTGTTAAAGTGAGTCACAGGTCTGTCAGTGGTACCAGTACTGTGCTCTGGACTCACTTCATGGGTCACACAGTTTTTTCTCTGCTTGTCAGAACCTGGTAGCAGCTGGTCAGGGGGCAACCGTATTTATTTTATATGGAATCCACACAATTCCAAGTCAGTATTATTTTCCTGGATGGATCAGCAAAATGTGTTCATACTATCAGCTTGTGCAGAAGACCCTTGGGGAGCCAAATTTGTTTTCTCTGTGGGCTTTTTGGAACACTGCTGTCCCCCAGGCGCTTTGTCACCATACTCAAATGGCCCCTGATGTGCTGCCCATTGTGGTCAGATGGAGGCAGGGAGTTACCAACAACAGCCTCACTCCCCATCCATACACAAGAACTCCAATGCTCTGTTTCGGCTAATAACAAGATTTTAGGAGAACTGGGAGCTGCATAGCTATAGCTAGGTTCACCTCCTGCACCTCTGGTGGTCTCTCCTTCCCACTCGTCTACTGACAGAACTACAATCGCCTTTGGGTCTGTTCGTTCCAGTACTAGTCCACTATTCCTGCTGCTTCCCCATGTTCACAGGCCCCCAGGTGTCTCTCCTGCAACCTGGGATCTCGCCCTCTCTGCTTCTCCCCCACTAATCCTTCTCCATCCTTTTTAACATGTCTTCACCATATTCCACCATCTTTCTCTAGAACATCATTAATTTTTTTTAAGTGAAAAGACCAAGTCATTACTTATCAATAATATTGACTGTAAATGAACAAATTCTTCCATCAGAATACAAGAAGTCATTCAACAAGGTGCAAGAAACCCTCTTCTCCAGTAAAGACACATGCAGACCAGGGGCACACAGACAGAAACCAGCAGTGAGCAGGAGCAGCCATGCTTACCTCAGATAAAACAGACATGGAGACAAAGAAAGGTCACTAGGAAATGAACAAGGGATCAGCCCTACCGGAAGATACACAGCTACACTAAACACTGCTGCTCACAGAGGAAGAGAGCTGCTCCAATACAACAGTGGGGACCTCAACACCTAACTTTCACTTATAGACAGATCACCCAGACAGAAGTCAGAGCTAAACTACCCCGTGGATCACACGGACCTAACAGCTTT